GTCTGATTGTTGATCGAGCTTATCATAGGTAAGCTCAGTGGAAGAGTCCTTGACTGCCGTGGCCTTAGGGCAGACAGCTACCTGGTTACGGAATATATCGACAATGCTGGACTCACGCGGGTACTCTACGCGCCTGATGTCAAGCAAGCCTTGGCTGCGAAGCTCCGGAAGTTTGCCGGCAAGCAGCGTAAGGGTAGCGACAGGTGTCTGCGGCTTCTCCAGGCCACGACGGAGAGTATTGAGGAAGACAGCGATCATGCTATTGATTGTCGCAGCCTCGAAGAGATCAGTTGCGTACAGAACACTGCCGTTGAGGGAGCTTCCTTCCTGGAAGAGGTGGAACTCTACATCAAGTCGGGTTGTCGGCGTCAGCGGTACCAGTTCTCCTTGCAAGCCTTCTAGACGGAGCTTGCCCAGGTCTCGCTGTGAGTGAACGGCGAACATTAGCTGGACAAGTGGGTTGCACGACGTATCTCGTGACCCAGGGAGCAATGCAGACACCAGCTGCTCGAAAGGAACGTCTTGATTAGCAAAGGCAGCTGTCGCTGTACTGCGTACCTGTTGCACCAAGCTCTCAAAGGTATCATCAATGTCATTAACAGTGATCCGCATACACTGGGTATTAACAAAGAAGCCAATCAGGTTTTCAAGCTCTGGCCGGTTCCTGTTAGCGATAGGTGTACCAACGGTCGCGTCCTCGGCCCCTGTCAGCCTATAGTGGGTGGCGCGGAAGGCTGCAAGCAGGACGACAAAAGGTGTAACTTGCTGAGAGCGACAATAGGCCTGAAGATCCTGGTACAACGACCCGTTGATGGTTATAGGAATGTAGCTAGCTTCACCTGAGAGTACTTTAGGTCGCGGGCGGTCACAGAGAAGCTCTGCTGGCGCGCTGTTGGCAAGCTGCTTTGTCCAATAGTTAAGCTGCTTCTGCTGCTCGGCCACCTGTTTCGCCTGTTTCTGCCAGATTGTAAAGTCGCGGTACTGTATTGGGAGCGGCATAACATGTGACAACGGATCGTCACCTCGGAGAGCGGCGCTGTAGAACATGTCCAGCTCACGGCAAAGCACGTCAGTCGACCAGCCGTCAGAGACGATGTGGTGCATAACGACGGACAGGACGTGGTCTTCTTTACTGATCCTGAATAGACGGACCCTCCATCCAGGCTCTGCAGAGAGGTCGAACGTTCTCGTTTGCTCAACCTTGACTGCCTCAATTACTTCAGCGTCGGAGACATCTGTTATGCGGAGCTTCATGGACCGGAACGGCTGTACAACTTGTACGCCAACATTGTCGCGCTCCTCAAACGTAGTCCTCAAGCTCTCATGGCGCTTCTCGAGGGCCTGAAGTGCCGCAGTAAGCGCGACAACGTCCAGTGATCCGTGAAGACGCGTCACCAATGGAATAATGTACCAAGAGGTGCCCAGGTTAAGCTTGTCAAGGAACCAAAGACGACCCTGCGCGAACGATTGCTCTACTAGACCATCATGCCTCATGCGAGAGATGGTAACGTGCATTTCTGAGCCTTGTTGAATAGTCGAAGCGAGGTCCGCAAGAACAGGGTGGTCAAAGACGTCTTTTACTGATACCTTAGCGTTAAGGCGCCGACCAAGGCGTGCCGCAAGCTTTGTCGCCATGAGAGAGTGTCCACCAAGTTCGAAGAAGTCGTCCATCACGCTGACGTCGACGCCTAGCACTTTAGTGAACTCTTCGCAAAGCGCACCCTCGATGTCATTGCGTGGAGCGACACGGTCTTTAGAGAGTCTGCTCTTGGTTGCTGTCTTTGCACGCTTGGCGAGCTCCTTCCTGTCGACCTTGCGGTTAGAGTTGACTGGCATCTGGTCTAGCACAACGATTCGGCTTGGAACCATGTACGTAGGCAACATAGTCTGCAGTCGGTCACGGACTTTGGCTTCAATTTGACGACTTTGGAAGCCTTGACCCGGGCGATTCGTACATGGCGATTGACTGGCGTCTTCGACCGGGAACTGAACAAGGACGCGGGCATTGTCATGCTCTGGCTTGTACCTGTGGAAGACTGCATCGATTGCGCCATGGTTAGAACGCTGCCGAGCCCAGCTAAGCTCCACACGTAGACCAACATCCTTTGCAAGCTCAACAAGGTCCACTGCAGACAGAGCGGGACAAAGCTGTGACTTCTCACGCGCGGTGGCAATCCAAGCGAACTCGCTCGCTGAGCGCTGTGCAGGGTCATCATTTGCTTCGAGCGCTTCGAGTACATGACGATCGAATATGGTCTTGCTGTACGGAACATTGCTGATGGCAATAGGTTGTGTGTCGCGAGAGCTCTGAAGAAGGTTGAGGAGAGAGCTGCGGTCCATCTTAGCGTGAAACTCGTGCCAAGCATTCGGTGCAACCGTATGCACTGGTGGCATCTCATCTTTTGAGTTGCAGACGTGGATAACTGCTCCGTAACGGTATGCGCTAAGTTCATTTGTCGCTTTCATGACCTTTGGTAGGATTTCGACGTGTGAAACGCGATCGAGTCGGCTTGTCAAGTCAGTGAAGAAAGCAGGATCGATCAGCAGCTCTTCTTCTCGCTCGTTAATCTCTTCCATCTTCTGCCGGATCTCATCCTTT